AGATACAGATACAGATACAGATACAGATACAGATACAGATACAGATATAGATATAGATATAGCTCTTGGGTGCTGCCCAGCCTCTCCTGAGAGCCTGTAGGACAGAGCAGAGCCAGGCTGGGCTGTCTCACACTTGCTATGAAATGTGCTAGGTTAGTGGCCAAGGATGTGTTCCCCATGTAGAGGGCAATTTCACAGCCTGCTCTTTCCCCTCCAGGCAGGAATGAGACCCGTGGCAGAGCAGCAGATTTCGCATCCTGCCCCGTCACTCCACTCCCTTTGCCTGGGGTCTCAGACACCCTGATCTCTGGCCTCAGTATCTTACCCATCAGACGGCTGCTTTGGGGGCAGTTGTTTGGGCAGGCTGCAGCACTGCGCGGTTTGCGGAGACGACATTCACAGAGTGATGTTGTGAGAGCTCTCAGAGCGTGCGGTACAGCAACCCCAGGACGGAGGCCCCGAAGTAGGCGAGGGGGGGCTTCTCTCCGTAAGATGTGGATATCACACCTGATCCTTTCTCCTTGTGCCATTTAATCTTGCACACAGAACTCGGAGGTGAAGCATGTTTAGGTGACACCTTTGCTCCTGTGCTAACACCACAGCTCCCTGCCTATAACTTGAAGGTTTTCTCTTCTCCAGAGACAGTTCATACTCTCTGCCACAAGTCTCTGCCAGTTTGCTACTCTCGCCGTGGCCTTGATGTCAGCCTTCGCTCGGGTGGATGCCCAGAAGATGGAAAGGGCCCAGTGTGGAGCTCACCGTCGAACCCGCTGCTCCATCAGCTTCCTCCAGCGTTCCACAGGCGTTCTCAGCCACTGTCTTCAGTCTCCACAGGTGGGGGTAGGCTGTCTGTCAGCCAGTCTTCGAGGTTCTTATGACAGGCCCCTAAGTTCCCTGACAGGGCCAGGGAGAATTATCCTCTGTGTTCTCCCCAGCTCTTCTTTAGGCTCAAGAACCTCAGCAGTGGTTGAGTCTTAGCTCCTGAGAGTTCAGCAGACAAAAGAGGGAGAGTGTGTGAGTGTGTGTGTGTGTGTGTGTGTGTGTGTGTGTGTGTGTGTGTGTGGTTTATCTGGTAGGGCTGGAGAGTATTATGGTACGGGTATATGCTTAGAGCATCTGGATTAAAAGGAGAGTTTTTTAATCTCTAATCCAGTGGGCCCTCACTCCGCACACCCCCGGGGGTGTCCCTGTCTTTGGGGAAAAGGGCAGTGGAGGGGGGGAGCTACCCCTGGATAAAGCTGCCGACTGCGCGAACCCGCTCCATGACTCTTCACCTTTGTCTGCCAGCGCTACCTCGTCTGAATCTGCCCGATCTTAGTCACCCCCAAATAGAGGTTCCTAGGCTAGTGTGTGTGTGCTTTGAGGTAGACTGGTCTATGCCTCCAGCAGAGACCCTTTCAGCTCTTTCCTTCTGCCCCTGTTCCGGGTAACCTTTGAAAGCCAAGGGAGCTGGGGTAGGGAGTTGTTTGAGGCGGTTGCTGCAGTGTTGCAGTTGTGAGCTGCCGTGTGGTGCTGGGATTTAAACCTGGGTCCTCTGGAGGAGCGGCCAATGCTCTTAACGGCTGAGCCGTTTCTTCAGCCCCTTCTGTTTTGTTTTATGTGTATGTTGTTTTGTGTTTTAGACAGGGTCTCACTATGTAGACCTGGCTGGCCTAGAACTCACTATGTAGACCGAGCTGTCCTTGAACTCACAGAGTCCTGCCTCTGCCTCCTGAGTGCTGGGATTAAAGGTGTGCACTACCACTCTTGGCTCCAAAGGGAATTTTTAAAACAGTTTTCTTGATTTCCTTCACCCTGCCCAGCTACTTAAATACTTATGCCACACAGCACAGATAACCACCCCACCCTCTACCCCCGAGCTTCCTTGTATGCCTGACGTTAAGATGGAAGCCTGAAAGTACCTGGCTGAGCCTGGTGCTGACCATGCCATGGGACCAATGGGCAAGTTGGGAGTGGCAAGGGGAGGCAGAAGGGAGAGGATGACATGCTTTATAATTAAACTCAAATCAAAAAATAGAAACAGCATCAAGTGTGCACAGACAGGCGGCAGGAAGCCGGCGGCACAGACCGCCTGTTGGAGAAGACCAGAGCCTGGGCAGGATCTTCCTGCAGGTGAGTGAACGGTCCTGATTCTCAGGCGCCTCTGAGAAGGCTGGGGAGTGCTGCCCAGGTGCCTATGTGGGTTGGGCAACTGTAAGGCTTGGGCTGGGGGAGTTCAGATGGGTCAGAGCTAGAAGCACAAAACTTTGCCTCCCACTACTGTGTGACCTTGGGCATAGTGCTTTATCCCTCTGAGCCTTGGTTTTCTCCTCTGAGAAACGGGGCTGTCGATAGTGGCTGCTTCGTGAGAGCCCTGTGTGGACTCAGGGTGAAGGTGTGAGTTCTGGGCTCTGTCTGGTCTGTAATGTGCTTCCTTAAGCTGTGAATATAATCAAGAAACATGGAGATCCAAGTGAAACCTCCACAGACTGTAGGGAGCCACCCTCCATAGGGCACTACTGAGTCTGGGAAGGCTGGAAGGGATTGGAGCAATATAAATAACATGATGCCTCATTTAGATGGCATCTCTCATGATGCAAGGCCCTAGGAGGCTCACAGCATTTGTGATGTCGCCCAGCAGGCCCCTAGTGAAGAGTCAGGCTCACAGACTGCCTCCAGGGCGCAGGGCTGCACACTGGGCAGAGGCCACTGCAGCCCTCCCTTGGCATTTGCCTGCCATAGTCCCCAAAGCCCCTTCCCCAGACTCCTCAAGGTTCTGCTGTGAAAACTGCAGCCCCATCTGGCCTATGCTGCTCTGGCAAAGAAGGGAGGCAGAGACAGACAGCAGGGGAGGCCAGAAGGAACACATTGTGGGCTCACAGGTAATGAGGTAGGCAGCAAACAGCTGCCCTGTCCTCGGTGGCTAGGCAAGGCCTGAGGCTGAGGGTGTGCAGGCTGGTATTCTAGAAGGCTGCGGTTCCTGGGAGAAAGCAGAAGACGGGCAAGAGGGGGTAAGGGGGCAAGCTAGAGACAAGGCATACCCACAGCAACAGAAAGCAGGTGCCTGTAAACAGTGGCAGCATGGGCGGGAAAGCCACTGCCCACAGAGCGGCTGCTGGGCTGAAGCCACAGAGAAGTAGAGGCCAGGTGGCACCAGGGTGCGATGCAGGGCATGAGTGTGAACAGTGGCCTGTTCCTACAGGACATTCAGCCATGTCTCATTCCAACAGGGCTGAGATGTTCAGGCCAGTGGCAAGCAGCTGCCCCCGAGGGGGGCAGCAGGAATCAAGAGAACTGAGTCCCCAGGCTGCCTTTTTTTTGGGGGGGGGGTGCCTAAAGCTTAAAGAATGGGTTACTGAGTGAACTGCTGGGCCTGGCTCTGACTGAGAGGTGGGAGGAGCCCTCGCTGGGCAATAGCTCGGCTACGTATATCCTGAGCACCAAGAGCAAGGCCCTAAGTAGGACCTGACCAGGTTGCCCTAAGTCCAAGCAAAAAACCTTTCCTACAAATCTAAGTTAGACCAGGAGGGCTAAAAACAGCCCCTAAAGCTCCCACCCAGCGACTGGGGCACAGTTGTGCTGCCTGGCAGCTACTGGCCACTAGAGGGCAGACTTACCCCATACCAAATTTAGCAGGCCTGTGAGTGGGCCTGTGGTTTTCCCCAACCCCTGTCTAGTTCCACTCAGAGCTGGAGCAGTGTATCTGCTTCAGACCACAGTGGCATTTGGATTCCCCTGGATTCAGAGGTCCCTTCCACCACAATGTCCCTTGCCCTGGCATTACTTTACATAGTCATTTCTTTCTCTTGAGGCCAGCAGAGTATAGAAAAGTCAGAAGTCTTACATGAGGAACTAAGGCCCAGGCAGGAATGAAAACTTGCTTAGGCCACAGAGTATATCCTTGCCAACTTTTAAGGGGAGTCTTCTCTCTAGGCACCTCATCGGGTGCCTCCCCAGCCCCCCCCCCGCCCAAATCTTCAGGATGGTTTTTGATACCAGAGACACTAGGGGGAGATGACAGGGCACGGCTTCAGTCTAAGCAGCCTAGAGCTGTCCTCATCCCCTCACCACCCATTGGCTCAAATTTGTGGACCTGGAATTCTAGGCGCTTCACAGCATTTGTGTTCTGGATGGAACCTGCCTAAGAATTGTTCCAGTCACGTGCAGAGTCCTGCCCCTTCACCAGTTCCCCATTCTGGCCCCAGACCATGCCCTAGGTAGGTGGCAGGCCACTCAGCCTGCCCTGAGAAGTCACTGAGAGGGATGAGGGAGAGAGCCCGGTCCTTCATTCCACCCTCACCATTTACTCGCTGGGTGAGCTTAGCCAAGCCAGTGGCCTCGTGGGTGCCCGTCTCTTTTTCTGGTCTTGGCAGTGCCTACCAGAGGGAAAAGACACTCTACCCACTATGCACCTTCTCTAGCTACTCCTTGAGGGAACCAAGGGCAGTTGGCCAAGATAGGTCTCCCTTCCCACTACGGCACCAGACCCAGGTTCTGGTGCCTCTGACATCCCAGCTCTGCAGGGTCCCGGATGGCCCGAGCCAGCTGACTCCAGACATACCCCACCCCATCCGGGTGAGGCCTGCGCAGATGCACTGGCCTGAGCCACAGTGGTAAGGAGGAAAAGCCTGGGGCCTGGGAGCAGCCATGTAGCTCAGCCCGAACAGCTCCCTGGAGCAGACTCCTGAGTTGGTAACCACCCCTCGGCGACTGGAAGGCTCAGGGAAGGAACTGAAGTCACTCGCCGGGTATCAACCCCCAGGACGGGCATCAGTCTTTGGGTGTTCCTGAGCATCAGTGCCCTGCCGTGTGAAACGGGACATGTTCTGCCTATGAGGCACCAGCTCAGCTCACTTGGTACACAAAAGTTGACCAAGGCCAGCATGTAACTGGGCTCTGACCCTGCACAGTGCTCTGACCTCAAGTACCAGCCCTAGAAACAGGGGGTGGGGCAGTTTGGAGATGAACTGCCTGGATTTGGAGAAACATCCTGGGTGTTCTCCAAGAGTGTCAGCCAACCGGGGTTCCAGGGACTAAAAGAGTAGGATCTACAGAGCTCCTGAAGGTCTCCAAGGCCAATGTTTCTACCATCCAGGCCGCCTCAGAAAAGGTGTGTCTAGTGCCATGGCAAGGGCGTTCTAGTTCTCCTTGTTCCTAGGGAAAAGGTTCTAGATTCCATCCCAACTGAGAGGTTAATAGCCCCATTCAGCATAGCCGAGGCCAGCCCCACGGCGTCCCAGCGGCTCCTGGTACTGCAACGCTGGCCTCCCTGTCCACTGGACTGTCCTTGAGGAGCCTGCTATAGCTGCTATCGTGTCCACTCTGTTCCAGGATGGACTCACTGCAGAAGCAGGACCTTCGGAGGCCGAAGATTCATGAGGCGGTCCAGATGTCCCCCTACCAGCCACCCACGCTGGCCTCCCTGCAGCGCCTGCTGTGGGTCCATCGGACCGCCACACTGACCCACATCAATGAGGTCTGGCCCAACCTCTTCCTGGGAGATGCGTAAGTAAGACCCTTGTAGGGGCTGGGGATGGCAGGAAGAGCATGAGTGGCAGGAAGAGCCTCCTCCAGGTGGCATCTCATCATTGCCTATATTTGTCTTTTTTCTTATGTTTAATTATGGAAACAGAACACAGGTAAGAAAAATACACAACACACACACAGTTTCATCTTTTAGGCCATGAAATAGGGAATTATTTGTGCCCTAGAAGTTGCAGTTTTTGGTGGATAACCACATTTTAAGTGACTTTTTGCTTGTTTGAGAGAAGGTGGCAAGTACCCCAGGTTGGCTTAGCTCCTTCTGTGGCTGAGGACACCTTAGTTTCCCATCCTTCAGCCTCTACCTCCAAAGTGCTGGGTTTACAGGTATACATCTTGATGCCCGTTTTATGCTGATAATCGGGCCCGGGACTTTGTGTGTGCTAGGCGGGCACACTACAGATTGAGCTATGTGCCCAGCTTACCTCAAGCCACCATCATCATCGTGGTTATTGACAGAGTCTCACAGCAGGCCGAGCTGTCCTGAAATTTACTAGGGAGAAAGGGCTGGCCTCAATCTCATAAAGATGCTCCTGCTTCCGCCTTTTATTTATTTTTATTTTTTTGATTTTTATTTTGTATCCATTGGTGTCTTACTTGCATGGGTCTGTGTGAAGGTGTCAAATCCTCTGGAACTGGAGTCACAGACAGTTGCGAGCTGCCATGTGGTTGCTGGGAATTAAACTCATGTCCTCTGGAAGAGCGGTCAGTGTTTTTAACCACTGAGCTACCTCCCCGGCCCCCTGCTTCTCCATTTTAAGTTCTGGGATTGAAGACATGTGCTACCACACCTGTCTCATTCTTAACTGCTGTGTATTCACTGTACATAGGGATGGGTTTGGCGGATTTTTCTATCCCCACCCTCATTTTTGTGAGGCAGGGTCTATTATAGCCTTGGCTAACTTGGAGTTGTCTAGGTAGACTAGGCTAGCCTTGGACTTATAGAGGTCCACCTGCCTTTGCCTCCAAAGGAGCTTCAAGGGATGTGCCACTGTGCCCCCTGTGCCCTCCCTTTTCTCTCCTGCCCACTAGTTTGGTCCCTCCCACCAGAAAATCTTGCTTCTGTTTTAGTGCTATATATATATATATATTATATATACATGATTTTACGTAGCTATATAAAACCTGGGAGCCACAGATGAGCGAATACACACAATGTTCTCTAGGTCTGTGTTATTTCATTCACTATAACCTCCATTTGCTCCTACTGCAAAAGCAGCCTTTTTTTTTTTTCAAGTTTTACCGCCTAAACATCACAGATAAGCCTTTTGCCTGGCTTCTAAAGTTAGAGTGAAATAATATTAAATTGTTTTTTTTTTTTGTTTTGTTTTTGTTTTTGTTTTTGTTTTTTTATCTTATGTGGCTAAAGAAGTGGCTCAGGAGGTAAGAGCACTTACTGTTCTTGCAAAGGATCTGGGTTTGGGTCCCAGAACTTAATGTGGCAGCTCATAACTGCCTCACAACTCCAGTTCCAGGGGCCCCCACGGCCCCCTTCTGGTTTCTACAGGCATGCACATGGTGCAGATAAATTTACACAGGGACACACACCTAAATTAAAAACTAAAATAAAACGTGTGGTGTCGGGGATGTGGCTCAGTTTGTGAAGTGTTTGTCTACCATGCACAAAGCCACGGGTTTAATTCCCAGCCTAGCACAAAAACCGAGAGTGATAGTACACACTGATAATCTCAGCACTGGAGAAGCAGAGGCAGGACTATCCGTGCATGGCTCTCCTCAGCTACACAGGAAGTTCTCGGCCAGCCTGGGCTTCATGATATCCTGTCTCAAAAACAAAACAAAGAAACAAAACTTTGCTGTGTGTGTATGACTTGTGTGTGTGTGGACACAGCTGCATACATGCTACAGTACATAGGTGGAGGTCAGAGAACACATTTGCTGCCTTACTGTCCATTGCTGCACATGCCAGACTAGCTGGCCCAGGACCTTCTGGGAATTTTTCTGTCTCTATCACCCATCATAGGAACAATGATCTATTATGACACTCAGTACTGCATCTGGCTTTTACGTGGATGCTAGGAATCTGAGCTGAGGCCCTCAAACTTGAGTGGCAAACAGCCCATCTTGTGTGTACTTCATGGGGAGCATCCTTTGCTCAAAATTGTGAGACAGAATTTCTCTGTGTAGCCGTGTCTGTTCTGGACTCGCTTTGTAGACCAGGCCGGCCTCAAACTCACAGAGATCCACCTGCTTCTGCCTCCTTAAGTGCTGGGACTACAGGTGTGTGCCACCATGCTCAGCTCAATTTTATTATTATATAATATACTGTGTGACTATATCACAAATTCTCCATTTGTACTGATCCCGATTTTTCTTTCCTTTTTCTTTCTCTTTTCTTTTTCCTTTCTTTCTTTTTCTCTTTCTTTCTTTCTTTCTTTCTTTTTTTCTTTCTTTCTTTCTTTTTTTCTTTCTTTCTTCTTTCTGAGACAGGCTTTCTCTGTGTAGCCTTGGCTGTCCTGGACTCACTTTGTCGACCAGGATGGCCTGAACTCACAGAGATCTGCCTGCCTCTGCCTCCTGAGTGCTGGGATTACAGGCGTGCGCCATCACTGCTCAGCTCCTGATCCCATTTTTAACTCTCAGAAAGAGTCATTTTAGGAGTATTTAGTACAGGTATCCTGGGAACCATATGAGTTTCCCAAGGTTTCTATGACAGAGAGAGAGAGGAGAGAGAGAGAGAGAGAGGGAGGGAGGGAAAGAGAAAAGGAGAAGAATATGATACAACTATTATTTTTCCCTAAGGGTTTTCTTAAATTTTTGAAAATATAGGGGGCTGGAGAGATGGCTCAGAGGTTTAGAGCACTGGCTGCTCTTCCAGGGAACTTGGATTCAATTCTCTGTACCCACATGGTGGCTCACAACTGTACTCCAGCTCCAGAGGATCCAACACCCTCACACAGACAGGCATGCACTCAAAACACCAGTGCACATAAAACAAATCATAAAAACCTTTAGAAAACGTAAACTAAATATATTAAAAAAGAATTTCCTTTGTATTTAGAAGTCATTGGGCCAGAGAGATGGCTCAGCAGTTGGTAGCACTCAGTGTTCTTATAGAGATCCTGAGTTCAATTCCCAGCACCCACATGGCTGCTCACAAGTATCTAGCACTGTAGTCCCTTGGGATCCAAAGCCATCTTTTGTTATGCAGATGTACATGCAGACAAAACACCCATCTACATACATAAATAAACTTTAGAATTAATTACAGCATAGATTAATATCTAGCTAATGATATTCCTCTCTCCACAGAGATAAAAATCCTTGTAGACAAAGGCATCTGTGCTTTTTACACCGCTGTTTTGGTAAAAATGCTATCACTTTGTAATACTCTTTTGAGATATGCTTTACATAGGCCACTTTTTAAATGAATCACACTACATATTTTAAAACTCCAGGAACATCCTATTTTATATCCTGTATTTTCACAGGTTCTTGATAAGACGAACAACCTACCCTGTTTACCTGCATTCAGCACATTTCAGTGATTGATGATATTTCATCATCTATTCACACAGGAACCTGTTACCTGAGGGCTTGTTCCCCAGTGACCATCGAAAACTGAAAACAGTGCATACTGCTCATAATATTGCTGAGATTTTCCTACCAATGCATACTTTTGAAAAGTTTAATTTGTAAATTAGACTAAATAACACTAACAAAACAGTAATTACTATATTACATAGGGCCTGTGATATCGTGATAGTCAGTCTCATGACAGATAGTTCCTGAACCATTAATGGTGAAAGCCTCCGATGCAGGGTGCAAACACTGGCCAAGGGGAAACGCTTGTCCTTGTTCTAGCTTCCTTTCTGTTGCTATGATGAGACATTGATCAACACCAACTAGGGGAGTTTAGTTTGTTGGGATTACAGTTACTGTTGATCATCGAGAGAAAGCAAGGCAGGAGCTTGAAGCGGAAATCATGAAGGAACACTGCCTACTGCCTTCTTTCTCTGGCTTGTTTACCTTTCTCTCACAGCCCAGGCCCACCTGCTAGGGCCAGAACCACCCACAGTGGGCCGCATCCTCCCATATCAGTTAGCAACTAAAAAATGCTCCAGAAACATGTCCGCAGGCCAGTTTAATGACACCCATTCCTCAGTTAAGGTTTCCTCGACAGAGAGCTGTAATGTTGACAAGCACTGCTAGCTATGACAATCTTAGGCACAACACAGCAGGACAGTACACAGTTTAAAATCTATTAGATTTTACTGATAAAATTTTTTTAAATATTTTAAAGCCATAATTGACTATGGGTAAATGAAACCATAAAAAGCTCAGATAAAACCACAGATAAAAAAGGATTACTGTACCATACTTAATAACTTATTACAGGACAATTAAGTTCTTTTTTCTGTCAAGAATGCTTTCTTCCCTAATATGTCAGTTTTAAATGTTATTAAATTCAGCTTATATAATGTCTGGTTGGCACATTTTGAATTCTTCCTTTTAACCTGTTGCTAGAAGAAAGTGTTTATACGAAGAGGACACGCGTTTCTGAGGCTTTTCATGCATGTAGCTAACTTCCTCTCAAGAAGTTCCTCTGGATGAAACAGCTAGAGCACTGGTTCTCAACCGGTGGGTCGGTTGCCAAAAATATTTACACTGTACTTCATCATAGTAGCAAAATTACAGTTATGAAGTAGCAACAAAAATAATTTTATGGTTGGGGATCACCACAGCATGTATTAAAGGGCCGCAGCATTAGGAAGGTTGAGAACCGCTGGCCCAAAGGAGAACAGAGGGTGAGGGCTGAGTCCCACTGCAGTGAGCTCCACCTCCACCTCCTAACTGCCCATGTGCCTCCCTTCCCACAGGTATGCTGCCCGAGACAAGAGTCGTCTAATCCAGCTGGGCATCACCCACGTTGTGAATGTCGCAGCAGGCAAGTTTCAAGTGGACACAGGCGCCAAGTTTTACCGTGGAACACCTCTGGAGTACTACGGCATTGAAGCTGATGATAACCCCTTCTTTGACCTCAGTGTCTACTTTCTGCCTGTTGCTCGCTACATCAAAGAAGCTCTCAATATTCCCCAAAGTGAGCTACTGGGGGAGGGTGTGGGTTGGGGCCAGGGTGGGATGAGGAGCCATCTATTTCTCCAGTAGCACAGATGGGTAGGGAAGCTACAGCACCAACCCCATCAGGGACCCTCCCAGTCAAAGGTGCAAGGGGTTATTGCCACTTAGAGTGTAAACCAACAATTTCAGGTATAACTAAGATTCAGCATGGAGGCTGGGGAGACGGCTTAGGGGGTAAAGTCCTTGCTCTGCAACCATTAGGATCTGTATCCAATCCCTGGAACCCACATGAAAAAGGCAGGCATCATAATGTGTGCTTGTAATCCCAGCATTAGGTAGATGAAAATAGCCTGAGGCTCACCAGCAGGGCAGCCTACACAGTGAGTCCAGGCCAGCGAGAGACCCTGTCTCAAAAATGAAGGTAGACAATGCCTGAGGGGCAACATCCAGATTTGACTTCTGGCCTTTATGTGTGTATGTACACACATACAGGCATAGCTATACATTCATGTATACCACCACATCAACACACACACAAACACACGTGCACACACAGACACACACACAGACACACACACACACACACACACACACTATCCACTGTGGTCACCAGGATTACCAGACCCTTTAGAAAGAAGCCAAGCACTAGGCAGAAATCACAAGACTCTTGGGAAAGTCTGTGTCTCCAGAGAGGAGACATAGGTGCAAGGCTTCATGGGCAGGAGAGAGAGCAGGACCAAGGGGAAAGAAAGAAGTTATTCACTGTGATGTAAATCCAAGGGACTCCAGAAGTTTGGTGACCCTCATCTAGAGTTGCAATGGTCCAGAGGAAGGGCCTCTGGACCAGGAGGGTGACCCATTCTCACCATAGCCCTCCACTAAATTTCCGAATGACCTTGAGCTTCCATTCTTCCTGGGTGTTGAGATAGGTGGATGGAAGGGATGGCCAGGGAGTTCCCTTCTTCCCAAGGTGAGGTGGGTGGCCAATGCTAGGTTGGGTCTTCCTACAGGCCGCGTGCTGGTCCACTGCGCCATGGGGGTAAGCCGCTCTGCTACAATTGTCCTGGCCTTCCTCATGATCTGCGAGAACATGACCCTGGTAGATGCCATCCAGACGGTGCAGGCCCACCGAGATATCTGCCCCAACTCAGGCTTTCTCCGGCAGCTCCAGGTTCTGGACAACAGGCTGAGGCGGGAATCAGGGAGAATCTGAATGAGGGAGCACCTGAAGCCTCTGTCCACCGTGGCCCAGCCTGACCTACCTGGCCCTGGGGATGGCAGCCTCTACCATTTCCAGAGACCCTGAGATGGCACCAGCAAGTCAGGGTGCAGAGGCAGGGTGGGCTGGGGGGTGCCCTTCTGCAGGCGGAGTCCCCTGACCCAGTACAGAAATTCTTTATGCAGAAGAAAATTCAATCTGTCTCTATAATAAAAGGTTCATCATAATAAAGATGGTTTGTAAGACAATGACTTTATTCTCAGGAAGGGCACAAGCTTTCAGATGGCTTGCCAGCTCTGACTCAGTAGCCTAGAAGAGGAAGGAGCCTGAGGACATAGCAAGACCTAGAGAGGAGAGCAGGTGGCGATCAGTTAGGGATAATGTCTGGGTTCAAGAGAAGATTTGGTGTACTGCTACGGACAGGCGGCTAATTCCTCATCTTGCTCCTTCCAAACCAAGGCTGAGGTTGTCTGTTAAAAAAAAAAAGTTCCAACTGTCACGTCCTCTTCTGGGCCAAATCTAAACTTACTGTTGGGAGCCAGCAAGATGGCTCATTGAGTAAAAGTTCTTGTGGCCCAAGCCCTGGAAACCTGAGTTCAATCTTCCTCCGTGGAAAGAGGACTCCACGGAGATATTCTCTGCCCCCCACACTCACACCAGCGCACACACACACTCCCTAACTAACACCATGCCTGCACATGGTGATAATAAATGTAATAAAGTTTATTTAACAAAACAGTAAATCAAGGTCTAGGGAGACAGCTGGACAGGCACTTGCTGCCAAACCTGATGACTGAGTTCGATCCCTGGGACCCACATGATAGAAAAAAAAACTTCCACAAATTGTCCTCTTACCTCCCTCCATACGCTTACTGTGATGTGAATGTACATCCCTGCAAAAACCCACAAATAAGCATAATAACAGAAAAGCCTCACAAATTTAAAACCTCACTGTCGGAGCTGGGGGTTAAAGCAGTGATGAAGCCTTCACCTAATGTGTGTTAATCCGCGATTGGTCCATGGCACCATAAACAACAGAGCAGCTGTAGCCTTAGACCTAGCATTAAGGCAGGAGGACTGAGTGACTCTAAGGCCAGCCTAGATGACATAGGAAGGTCCAGGTCAGAGATTAGGGATGTAGCTCAGTTGGTAGAGTGCTTCCTTGTGTACATGAGGCTCTAGGTTTGGTGTCTATTGCTGTGAAGAGACACTATGACCAAGACCACTCATAATTGGGCTGGCTTACAGCTTCAGAGGTTTAGTCCATTATCAGAATGAAATGTGGGTTCAGGCTCTAGGACAAGTGCTGCCAGCTGGCTCTCTCACATCTTGGTGGCTCATCTCTGAAGGCTGTGTGCCTGCCTTGCTGCTATGCCCAGCTTTATTCCAGAATCTAGGCCCTACCATGTATGGCTGCTCCAACTCTACAGAAACCTGGAGTTGGCTGGGCCTGGAGCTATCCAGACCAGACATGGTCCTAGCTAGCAGCCCAGTCCACTTACCCCAATTCCCAGAGGTTTTCCTCCTCCTGACAACTCAGTGTTGCTATTTCTTGCTCATCTGCTGTCAGCAGCACCCAAAATAGTGCTCCATAGGCCTCTAAGTCATCATGCTGGCCTGTGCATGTGGGCAGCCTGCCCCTGTCACCTGGGCTGCAGTGCCTACAGCCCAGGACAGAGCTTTCCCCTCGTCTGGAGCTCAGGTTTCAGCAGGTCACAGTCTGGGACTCTGTGGATGGAGTTCAGAAGCTGGGGCTGCAGTGGGAAAAGGTAGGAGAAGCAGGTGTCTCCCAAGCCCCTGAGGAAACAGGCTGGCCTGGGAAAGGTAAAGGAAGCTACCTAAAGTTTGTCAGATCTGTATAACCTCAGCCAGTAGGACAGAGGTGGAACTATTGCGCAGAACTTTCTGAGAAGTGTCTTTCAAAACAAATGGTGTGCTAGCCAGACATGACCTTTAATGCCAGCACTTGGGAGGCAGAGGCAGGCAGACCTCTATTATTTAAAGACCAGCCTGGCCTACACAGTGAGCTTCAGGCCAGCCAGGTACACATGGTGAGATTATGTTAAAAAAAAAAAAGGTATGGGTGTTGGGGGGTGTTGTAAATAAAAATGAGGGCTGCTGGCCATATAATGCTTATTGCTATTAGCCCTGTAACTATCACAGTGACATTATTTAACCCACCACCACAAGTAACAAGACACAGACACCTGTCAGCTGCCTTGGGCTGGGCAGCTATTTCTACCTATGTTACCTCAATCTCAACCATCCAATCCCAGCCCATCCAATGCCATCTGCCTTACTCATTCCTAGCTGGGCTGCTTCCACTCACAATATTGTAAACACTTGCTTGTATTCTTCATCTGGGCCTTTTCTCTTTTTAATTTTTTCTTTATTATTATTTATTACAGTTTATAATTTATTCACTTTGTATCCCGCTGTAATTTATTCACTTTGTATCCCTCCCTCATCTCTTCCTGGTTCTACCCTTCCTCCCCCCCCCCCCATGATCCTCCCCTAGTCCACTGATAGGGGAGGTGGTCCTCTCCTTCTATCTGACCCTAACCTATCAGGTCTCATCAGGATTGTCTGTATCTTCTTTCTCTGTGGCCTAGTAAGGCCACCTCGATAGGGAGAGGTGCTCAAAAAGCAGGCAACCAAGTTCATGCCAGTGACTGCCCCTGTTCCTCTTACTAGGAAACCCACATGGAGACTGAGCTGCCATGGGCTACATGTGAGCAGGGGGTCTCGTCCTCTCCATGTATGGCCCTTGCATATGGGCCATTTTGGAGTCCTTCCTCCCAGCCCACGTGGTTTCTTCTCCATGCTAACCCATCGTAGTGGTGTCCTTCCTCTTCTCTTCCTGTCCCCCAAAGCCCAGGAACCTTAACCACACCTACCCTATTCTGCTCTGCCCAGGTATAGGCCTTTAATCAACCAATCAGGTATGATGATTTAGGCAGGTTTACAAAACAAGGATGGATGTATTTGGGCAGAAACCACATTTTGAAAGCCAGTAATCAGAATCAAAATGCAAGCATCAGACGAACCCCCAGCAATTGGAGAGATGGCTTACTGGATAAAGGGCTTGCTGTGAAGACATGAGGACTTCAGTTCATATCCCCAGCACACACAGAAAACCAGGCCTGGGGAAATGCATCTGCAGCCACATCACTGAGCCAGAGACAGGCAGGACTTATTGGCCACCCAGCCTATCTAAAACAGTGAGTGCCAGGCCCAGTGAGAGACCCTGAGGTGGAGCGCAGAGGGGAAAGCCTGTGACATCCACTGACACACACACACACACACACACACACCACACCACACCACACCACACCACACCACACCACAGCACACCACACACAAACGTGTGGTTCCCACCTCCCTGGTGCTGTGTGGAGTGTGAGTAGGATTCTGGGGCTCCATTTCAGCCCTGGACAGCCTCTGCCTCCACATTTTCTTTACAAGAAAAAGAAACTTGTGGTGTGTGTGTGTGTGTGTGTGTGTGTGTGTGTGTGTGTGTGTGTGTGTTTTGCTTGCCTGTATGTCTGGCCAATACATGTGTGCAGTGCCTGTGAACGCCAGAAGGAGGCATCAGATCCCCTCAAACCGGAGTTACAGACTTGTTAGCTGTCATTTGATTGCTGTGAACCAACCCCAGGTTACTCTGCAAGAAATGTCCTTGGTGAGGGCTCTTTGCTGAATGGAGAATGCCAGCTTGATGACACTCCCTTTTCAAGAGTGAGCTGGAGGCAAAGATCATAGGACATATCGGAGTATGTTGAGAGAAGAGGGAAGCAGGGGCTATGAGGCCACAGGAGTCAGGAGCAGAGAACCAAGTGTCAGCTGGAGACAACAGCACTATCAGAGTCCCAGAGCCTGGGAAGATGCCACAGCCTCTACCCAAGGATTTCCTGCAATAGAGTCATTCAAGTCAGGGAAGCTTCCCTGAGACAGTTCCATTTCCTGAAACAGTCTTGGCTTTCTTTTGTTGGCTTATTTTGAAACAGGATTTCATATACCCCAGACTGGCCCTGGCCTCACTTATGTAGCCTAGGATGACCTTGGGCTTCTGGCTTTCTTGCCTCTACCTCCCATGCAAGACCATACCTGGTTTAAGGCGTTCTGGGAACCATGCACAGGGCTTTCAGAATGCTAAGCAAGTACTCTATCACCTGAGGTACATCACCCATTACTAGAGGGTAATGGATTTCCCAAACAGGTTCTCAAAGTGCATCCCTGAGGTCTCCTGAATACACCTCATCCAGTCACAAACTTCAGCCAGATTGCAGATAATGCCTGGCAAGACTGATTAAGCGCCTTTGAGAGACAGTTGGTCAGCACGTTCAGACTGGAGACAAGCCCTCCTTTCTTCCCTTTTCTGAGCTGGGATCTTGCTATGTAGCCCTGGCTGCCTTTAAACTTGAGATCTTTACTTAGCCTCTTAAGAACTCCTGAGTGGTGGAATTACAGACGTGAACCACTATGCCTCTTTTATGCTTTTGGTGTTGTTTTTATATTTGTTATTTGTGTGTGCACAGGTGTGTGCCACAGTGCATGCGTGGAGGTCACAGGATAAACATGAGAGTGCCTTCTCTCCTGGGCTCCAAGGGTTTAAACTCAGATTGAGGCTTAGTGGTACCTTCACCTTTTGAGCCACCTCTCTGGTACTATTTTTGTTTTTGTTTTGGTTTTTCCTGAGAGAGCACCTCAAATAGATGAAGGACTTGCAATGTAACCAAAAATAACCTAGGACTCTTGCTTTCTTTGTTTTTCTATGTAGCCCTGGCTGATCTCAAACTCAGAGATCGATCCACCCGCCTCTGCCTCACAGTGCTGGGATCAAAGGTGTGTGCCACTACCTGGCTAACCTTGAACTCTTGATCCTCTTGCCTCCACCTCCCAAATGCTTTAATTGCAGGTATGTGCCCGAACCCTCTCTTATTCTTGGTCAGTTCTATTCCTCTAGAGAAGCACCAATGTTTCTGGACAAAGATGTTTATTATATACCTGACCACCCACGTGACCGTCCAGCTTTGTCACTGAGCTAAGTTCCTGCCTGGGGTGATGTAATAGTCATGTTTACATTCTGTGGTAAAATACTCTGACAAAAAGAAAAAGCAGGTTAAGGAAGGAAGGCTTCCATACCCAGATGGTCACGATGGAAGGCTCAGCAGCAGGAGTGTGAGGTCAGCCTGGGAAGCATGAGCAGA